CCCCCCCCCCCCCCCCTTCGCCCACTGCCCCCATTTTCTCCATTAGATCTGATTAAACTTGACAGGATATAGTTGTATTTTCAAACTTAATCTCAATGGACCAATCATTTATTTCTACATTAGATATAAACAGTAAATGCCTGAAGACGAAGTTGCAAAAACAAGCTTGTTCGCTATATTGTTTGTCTTTCTATTTGAAATGAAACTTCGCCCAGAAGCATGTAACTTACCTGATAAGCGGATTTCAGAACGATATATCCAGTTTGTACGGTTGGTTGCGGTATACCATCCCAAACTAAGGACAAACTGGTCGATTGATCATGTGCAAGTTTCATCTGGAAGAACAGTGTGTGAGAGGGAGAGGAGAGACAGGGAAGAGTAAGGGGTGGAATGAAACATTACACATGACAATCGATCGTAAGAATTTCATTTTTACTAGAAAAAGATCGAATAGCATCAACTTACACAGGAATGAAGATGAAGCATGGATTTAGAAACAGAAGTCAACAGTAAATTATCGGCAATTGACGCTGAACGAAAGACAACCGACAGAACAAACGGTCGAGAATGACGTTTAGAGACAAAAGAGTAACTCCTTGAAGTAGTTACTCATTTAGATGTGTTCCCAATCTGAAGATGCCAGCCCTGTGTATGTACAGTACATAACGCAACTGCCACTGGGATCAATATTGTCACCTGACGGTGTTGTTGGTTTACCATAGAAATGAGTCTAAACACCTCACATTGTTCGGGGGTGGGTGTCCCGTGGTGATCATCATCATCATCATCTTGTGTTGATACTGGTCATCCTTTCCTTGACCCTAAAAGACCGAAACGCCTCCAGTCAAACTCTGCTGAAGTAGCCCTAATTACTACCATTACATGGAGAAGGTGCTATACCACTGAAGAGGACGAAAAGCCAACATTCGTAACCGTAGTCAAGTTGGTGAACCACTAACAGTTCATCTGGGAATTTAGTGAAAAATCTTCATTCCGAAACGGCATATAGACGAAGTTTACAAACCCAATCCACACCTTTGCGGTTCGGGCTGATATTGTTTGCTTGATTGAGCATCAAGATGTATTGGGTATTTGGAACGCTTGATCCCGGTCTAAAGGGAATGGGATCTAATAAACTAGACTCCGGTCCCAAATGAAACTAAGTCAAAAATGGATGGCCCAAACCTATGAATTAATAGTTCAATTCGTTCTGATTGCCATAGAACTTCAAGTGTCTTTACAATTGTCTTTCCGTCCGATTCTCGCGCGTTGATTGAGGAGTTCATGAATAGGGTATTTTCCGAAGCAACGCAATTCAACAGCGAATGAAAAACAACATATTTTTGTTTTCACAAGGCTGAGCAACAGTCACCGCAAGAGTATATCTATTCCAGCATCTCGGTCAATCCTGCACATCAGTGCACAACTGAGGATGCCTCGATTAATCAGTTCAGTTCAATTCAGTTTTTACAGCCATTAACCATGCATTTTCGTGAGTCAGTTTAAGTTGCTATCTTTGGTCGCCCATTTGTATGAAAGAGAAGGATGCAGATTGGAATGTTAAAAACGGAAATTAGAGAATTCATGAGGACTGATATTAAGAGAATAATGACTAAATGCATGAGCACCACTGTTTTCGACACCTAGCCATAGCGCTCGGTGCCTCTAACCATCGAGTACGACCATTCTCTCGGGGTCCCCAGCCAGGGAAGCCTAACGGGACCTATGTGACCCAGTCTTCTGGTTAGAGTTTCATACCCCTATACTAGGCCTTCTTTTGACCGCTCTGGACCAGCAAATATCGCTCGCCGTGGTAACCTATCTGGTGGCCCAACGTATAAACATACTCGTCCCATGATGTCAGCAAACGATTGACACATGAGCATTCCGGGGATTTAAACACTCACAGTTGTCACGGGTAGTTGGAAAAGAAGCGACGAAGTCGTTGTGTGTGTGTGTGTGTGTTATGGAGCAGGATCGAGCGGATCGCGGAACGTGCATGTGGTAAAACCATCCCTCAGGTGGGCAACCACAAAATAAGTGATTCAGTAAAACTAACGAACATTGCCGTCATGAGATAGCTAAGTGGCAGCATTTGAGTGCACGTTTCGCAAATTTGGAGTACAACTGACTGTTTTGAGGAAAGCAGTTTACACTTTACACAGGTAGTAGGTTTTAGTCCAATCACATCGATTGCAGAATAGACACACAGGAAACAAATCGAGCGTATCGATGGGGNGCAGCCGTGGCAGTTCGGCCAGTTCTGATATACGGCGCAGAAACCTGGCCATTACAGGAACAGGATATAGATGGAGTGTCGGTATGTTTGAACACCGCTGTCTACGTAGCATTGCACGAATCTGGTGGGGCAGCCGGACAAGCAATGCCGAGATTAGGCGCAGAGTTTAAGGTAAGTGCAGCCGTCCACCGGAACAAACGGTCGGCCTTCACAGATTACGTTGGTTGGGGTATGTGTTACATATATCATCAGATAGGTTGCAGGAGGCAGGTAGTGAGTGGAAGAAATTCAAGGATAGTCAAGTTAAGATCTGGCATGAGGGCATGAAAGCTCTAACCAGGAGTCTGGGTCACATAGGTCCCGTTAAGCTCTTGTCTGGGGACCTCGGGACTATTGTACTTGACGGTTAGAGACACTGAGTGATACGGGTTGGTGTCGTAAACAGTAACGATTGTGCATCTCAATTTCTCTGCAACATTAGTCAACTGAAATTCAAAATTTTCTCTTTGATCTTAATTTTAACCTTTCCTGTTTTTCTCCTACTGCTTCATCCAAACGGGCGACCAAAAGACAGCAATCAAAACCGTCGCACGACAGTGCATGGTTAATGGTCGTACAAAACGGAACTGACAATATAAAAGATTAGTAAAAACACGGAACCACACAGTCTTAAAAAGTCAAACAGGCTCGGATACACGGGAACAGGTAAAGGAATACACTTACGGGGCAACTGACACAGGTTTCGTTAGAACTGTGCACCAGGCATACGGAGTTACATTCGGTCCCGGATTCCGTTCGCTCGATCACGAGACGCCAAGCATCCGCCGGATCCAAGGCAGTGCTAACTCCAAACGCTTCAATTTCGATCTGTCATTGAAAAGCACCGAATAAGTGAAACGGGGATGGACGGGGTGGGGCGCAGTGACGAGAGCAGAGGAGAGAACAAAACTCAATCTCAATGTGGGATCAAACTGTACTGCTGAACCAAAAAGGTAACATCATTCACAATAACAGACACGTTAACCTCAGAGGTACACTGACTTGCCAACATGAATGGCAGCTCTAATTGATCAATAAGTGCGAAAAACCGTGACTGCTTGAAAAAACTTTCCACACCTGAAACACTGGGAATGCAACACAACTTATGGTCCTAGAACGAATTCATTATTCTACCTAACTTTATTACTCCTGAATACCCTCGAGTTAAGCGGAGCTGAATGCTACCAGACGCGTTCCCAGGTTGTGAATAGAGGGATACCTTCACCGAAGAAGGTTAGCTGTGAATAGGTTGTGGCACACCGAAACAAATAAGCGGTTACAAACAACCAGCGTCAGCATTACCGGGGTGTGGTGAGTTTCAGGCTGGTCACCTGGCTCCTGTTTAAAGCCACATAAGCCCAATGATGGTGTCNATGGTGTCACGACAAAGGTCGATGTGACCCCCTCAATTCCGAGCGACGATGGATTACTTCCTGTTGCCTTGCCGTTCACACTTGATTGTACAAAGGCTAAAAGTGCGCCCTCAAAATAAAATACGCTGAATGCAGCTGGGGACATCTCTCGTACCAAACGTCCGAGTAAATTCATGATCATGAGCCGGTTTATCCTTTCCAAGGAGCCAGCCGCAGTAAAGTAACTTTCTTACTAGTGACAGTATTATGCATGTTCTCTGATCACGGTTCAAACGTAGTTGGACATAATCAAGAGATCACTGAAACAACGTATGTGGTGCTTAAGGCGTGCAAAAGATTCTTGTAAACTGTCACTGCATCCAGCTGATTTAAACTGTGACAACCGATAAGTTTAGATGGATAAACTTTTTCCGTATTTCAAGACTCAATCAAGGTGTTAGGCAGTCTCAAAATCCACCTGATCCTATTAACAAATGTCCACAATTCTAAGATCACGACCACCAACATCACCAAACGATTGCGGTCTATCGCCAATGCAACGAAACCCATGATGGTGACAAATTCCTAGTCAAAACCAATTCGCATCAGTGGAATTTGCTGGTTAGGCAATGAGTTGTGTAGGCCGACTGGTACAGAACCGTGAAGCACAAGGCAACAAACCCACAGCAATGACTCGACAGTTTCACTCTTTTGCAGTGATTTCAGTTTCAGTTTATACAACTATTAACCATACATTTTCATGCACCGGTTTTGGTTGTTGTTTTTTTGGCTGTCCATTTGAGAGCAGAATGAAGATTGGAATGTTGAGTTGAGTCAAAGAGAAGATAGAGAATTCACATAGACTGGGGTTGCGCAAGAATATCGAGTAGATGCACGAGTGCCGCTGTTCGCGGTCAGACTGTATGAAGAAATCGGAACGCAATTTGGTCATTTTCTTCTACTCTCCAGCTCTCTTACTCGCAACGGTTCTAATCTCTACACGATTCTTATGTTGGTATTTATTTGCCAACACCAAGTTTGATGATCATCGGCGAAGTTGATTCAACCGTACTTCGTTGTACAATGATGACCATATCGTTCAAGCAATTAATTCGCGAAACAATCTTGAACAACGAACACAACACAGCAAGCGCACACCATTGAATTCCGGAATTGTTTCGCTGCATCTCAGCTGGTGCTTACTGCAGAACACACAATAGTTAATACATCACTGGTGTTGACAGGTCAACATGGTACCAATGCACCTCCCACCCGCCGCTTACGCGGTTACCAGGGCAATGCTAGACTGATGTGACTGGTGTGATGATATTTTCATATAACCACTGAGCACCGTAGCTACGCTGTTTCGCTCACCTCGTTTCTAGCATACATCGCGAAAGCTCTTTACTCTATCTTCTGAAGGTCACAAGTAGTCAAATATCAGAGTGGGGACATGTTGAAACCTTGGTGGGTGGGTGGGTGTGTGTGTGTGTGCGAAGCACAAAGGATCAAACATCTTTGCTCTGACCACTGCTCAAAACAAACTGCATAAGAATTGCACCAGATATGTGGGACGAAGGATAAAATAAACTTTCAAAGAGCATGTGTACACACACGCAAACAAATAATGAAAGAGGATGCAAACATGACAAGTAATCAGATAAGTTTTGAACTTTTATTGGGGTTCAAGGTCACACAGTGCATTTTGCCGAACTGAAACCCCCAAAACTTGTACGAACCGAGATGCACTCATGCGTGCACGGATGCAGATCGATATGCATATTGAATGAGCTTGAGCACAGTCATCCATAGTGAATAGTCCAGGTTGTCGATTTAGCCCCACAAACAGCCAATGAAAACACAAGAAGTGTACACACCCCACGGACCCACCCACCTCGTCTTCGCTTTTTGCAACTGTATGCACAACTACCAGCATTATTGCCAAATAAAAAGAAACTAAATATAGCATATCGCCAAATGATCTTTTGTATCGGCCTTTGAAAGCCTGATTATGGTCGGAGATGAATGTTCCCAGTTGTGGATGGTCACTTTCTCCCCCCCCCCTAGCACCTCGCGAAATGCTCCCATACGACCAAGCGTCTCAAATATCAACTGCTGAAGAAGCCTCAGTCACTGCCTTCTCGAGGCGGTGTTTTTCCACACCAAAGTGAGAGGATGAAAAGTTAATATTCGGGGCAACAACCGGGTCAGTGAACCACTGGCAGTTAAGTAAGAGGAGCTCGTTAAACACCCTGATACCAAACCAACCAAGAGGTGTACCAACCACACCCAAACACATCTTTCGGGCAGTGGTCACAGGCTAGATTGAGCATCGAGTTGTTCTGGACAGTTTGGACGTTTGATCCCGTCCAAAGGATGTATGATCCGATGAACAAGCCCGCAATGGATTTGCGGTGTTCACAAACCACCGCGTTACCTTTCTGGTCAAACTTTGACTAGTCAGTGGCTCCGGTTGTAAATGCTCCAAGAAAATTTACCTGCTTTGACCTGGGTAGCCTTACAATATTGCGCTCTCGAGTTTTTTTTCTGTTCAATGTGATTTGTTTAGCACAGTCTGGAAACTCAGACAGAGATGCAGTGGCGCAATTGTTTGTCAAACTCAGCCATTTCACAGTGTCTCTAATCCCCGGTTGTACATCCCACTCCAGTGTATGAATATAACATTCTGAATCGGACTCATCGCTTACTATCGCGAAATCAATGCGGTTGTTCATTGGACAGGTGCCCCACGACTTCACCGAATATCTGCGGTTTAACCCGGTTCACCGGGCTACTTTCCGCAATTCAACTCGGTGATAATTCCCGGTATACGGACCATCTCATTTGAACATTTTTCAACGATTAACTATACAAAATTCCATTGTTTTTTTTGTATATAACATGTGCTTTGGTCCACAACAAACACTGCTCCATTTGCAACCTAACTAATTCTTGACACGTCGTTTTTGTATCAATGATCCCAGGGACCGATTTGGGTGTACCAGTACAGCTTTAATGGAAAAATTAAACTGAATTTCCGTTTCTACGGAAGAACCATGACTCAAGCAATCGGATACCATTCGCAAGAACCTGAATTTGTCTTTCTCCGAGGGCGTTCTGCTGTGTCTAACCCATCTCATTTTCTGCCTCAGTTGTTTTCGTCCGAAATACCGTGGCACGTACCGTACCGTACAGTGGATCAGCATTTGTTACACTGTTCAGCTATCTCATGCGTGCAGTAGTTAATTTCGTGAAATGCATCCACTCTGATTTCACGAAATCGGTACGTCTCTCCTGTGACCGTTACTGATTGCGGTTGACTCATTTGTTATACTCGCGCCCATTTTAAGGTTGATGCTGTAGTGGCGTGATCACATGACTGTCATCACTATGGCGTCACATGATCCTAGGGCATCTCATTTTACCAGACAACGACTCCGCCACATGGACCAGTAGTTGTCATATAGAAGTTGCAGCGATCAATCGTCAATGCATCCTATATAGCATTACAGTACGGATAAATAAAGTTTACGGGAGTATGATGATTTCGTCGCGGTGAGATCTGTGATTTTATTACATATTTTCGTTAAGATCAAATACAATTTGATGGATTTTTTTATTACTTGGATTTCTATTTGTTTGTCTATCCGTAATCTCAGAAACGATAGTCATGATACATACAGCTGTGGAAATATTGCAAAATAACAAGGGAAGAGATTAAACATCAGGAATGCCTTGTGCCTCTGAACAATCGAATGGGCTAATCCAAGCTTGATAGTCTAAATAGATTAAACAGTTTAAACGCGCGCACACACACACACACACACATCTAGCAGATCGTAGGCACGGGGAGGAGCACTGGATCACCGTTCTCTCTGTGTATGAGCGAGCACGGGACCGAACGGGTCCGCACCGGACAACCTTTGAACCATGACCGAGATGGTACCTGGGACTATACGTGGTGGGATCACTGTGACCAACTAGCCATGTGGATGAACAACTCACCTCAATTGGATTGCGATTATACAGAACGACGGTACTGTTGCCTTGTTGATTTAGCAAAACAGTGCCCAAATTGTACACACCATCCAACAGGCGGGCTTTTTCAATTTGAATCTAGTTAACCAAGGTGGAGGGGGGAGGGGAGATGGAACAAATAAGCGGAAGAGTGAGAAAGGAGAGAAAAGAACGAAATGCAACGCAATCGAATTGATGTGGTTTAAGCATATCATGTCATTTTCATGCAACCTGTTGTTGTTTTGTTTTGTTTTTTCGTATTTCAAGAAACATCAATTCAAGAGGAATCACGGTGTCAAAAGTATACAAGTGTTATGATCAGATACTCATTCTTGTTCAATACCATGACTGGAACACTTATCAGAATGGAAGTGTTGAGACATGTGAAGTAATCAGAAACGAGCTCACCGACTGGGAACAAGAGAGCAGTGACACTAATCAAGAACCGTTATTGTACTGTGCGATTTGGAATACGCCGATTACGTCGCTGTCTGTTAGAATGTACAGAGGACGCGCAACACACACTTGATAACGTGGAGGTAAGTGGCCGTGTGTTGGGGAGTCTATCAGGGATAAACCTGCTAGCACACCGAATTCAGATTACTGGACTTCGGTGGCTAGGGCACGTATTGCGTATGCCCAGCCATCGTCTGCCGCACCGCGCTTTATACGCTGTAGCTAATCCGGGCTGGAGGAAACCACGTGGAGGTTAACAGATGACGTGGAGACTAGGTATGAAGAAATGCACAGAGCCATTAGGTAGAGTTGGTGTCTCTCGCCTTCCAGGTTGGGGTTCGAAAGACTCCACAACTGGTTGGTTGAAGACGTTGTAGGATATGGCGTTCTTGCTGTCGATTCTTACCAGGTCAGAATGCTTGAAACGTTATGTATGCAGAGTGCGATTGCGCACTCTGTGTTAATCACAGTGATTCACCTTCTTCCCCCTCCCTCAAAATATGTCCAATCCCTGTCCACCTTGAATTTTACCACTAACCTTGTATGCATCGCGAGTTTGGCAGTGATGAGTGAAGTTCGCCTCATTGTATTTCGCTGTAAAATAATGATGATGATACTGTAATCAATTTGTTCCAACTACTCAACTCCTGACAGATTTATTTTGAACTCGTTATCGGTCAATCCATTCATTTTGTAGTCCCTGAAAAGATGAGATGATTGAGATTGGGACACGTATATTACGCACATTTCCGATCGTTAAACGTTCTCGAGTTGTAATTAAAGCGAAAAGGGATAATTCATGATCCCGTGGTCTGATCTCCTTACGACGATAACCAAATTGTGTAGCTTCCACGCAGCACACCAGAAAATGTCATCCTGCTATTCATACGTGCCAGTGAGTGAGAAAAATGGAACGTGTATGGTGCCAGGTTATGGGACGTCGGAAATAAATCGTTCGTAAATTGGNCCCTCGGATTAAGCGTCCCGATTAGATGTGATTGAGTTGTGGTATACCACAACAAATAAGCAGTTGCGAACAAACAGCGGGGGCACTACCAGGGTGCGGTGGGTTTCAGGCTGGTCACTTGGATCCTTTTTANNNCAATGTGACTGACCTTTTAAAACTAGTCATTGATTCCCTCACTTCCGAGGCGAGGGATTACTTCCAGCTGCCTTGCTTGTACAAAGGCTAGAGGTGCGCCCTCAAAATAAAAAACGATAGTGAATCTGGGTTCGTCTCCCGTGCTGAACTCCCAAGTAACCTCATGATCATGACCATGGAGCCGGCTTATCCTTCCCAAACAGCCAGCCGTAGAAAAGTAACAATCGATGCTAAGAGATAATAAATTTATCATCACCGTGACCCAAATCGACAGAGCATTTTTATTTCAGTAAAAAGCCTTATGGAAAATAAATTTCCCCTTCTAGTTCCCACCTATTTTCACCTCTAGCCACAAAAACAATTCACTTCGGGACCTTATTATTATTGTGTTGAACAATGCAGATTCCCTAACCTTCTAGTTACTTCCGCGTGGTATTGGTGCCACCACAACAATTGACTGGAACAAGGTCATATCGAAAACAAAACAAAAAATCACCGATAACGTCGAGACCACTCGCTCCAGACCCCGGTGGTAGTTTACAGTTCAGACTTATCAATAGTTTCTCATTTAATAGGACACGAATTTCACAACTGTCATGGCGACGGTGAATGATGTGGGCGGGAAAATGAGTCATGGGAAACAACGATAGCAATAGACCCTGGAATAGATAGTCCAATAAGCAGAGGACATAAAGTGCATAAAGGGGGAAAAGTTTGATCTTAGCTACAGCAGAGAACCAACATGAATAGTTCACAAACGGACCACGCCCAACAAGTCGCCGTTATACCGTCTATCTCCTAGATACGTGTGTGTATGCGTGCGAAGTACTACAACTCTATGTGCCAGCGGGGATATCGCAAGGGAACATCTTGCTTTACTGTGCTGTTATGGTAACCCCGACTGCGAGGATGCAGTCGAAAGACAAATGTCCTGACAAAACATACATAAAAACTTCAAATGAGCTGCATGGTACAAACAACAACAACGATTTCATTATATAGCATGTTAGACAAAACGATGATAAACAACAGGAGAATTGGTAGAGCAAAACGGGAAATTTTTTCAAAAAACAGTTCAATTTGAATAGCACATGAGTGGACAGTTGAGCTGTGAGTTGATTACCTCGCTGTCTTTCCAAGGGTTGGTGACGGACAATTGGGGGTCAACCGTCTGTTCTGGCGCATCATCATCATCATCATCATTGTCCAGCAAAACACACAGTGAAGCGAACTTCACTGCTTGATGTCAAACTCGCAATGCACACACTTAGGGAGAAAATATGTAACGTGGACAGGGATGGAGTCCGTTTTGAACGAGTTGGAAAGAAAGCGATCCTGTATAGTTTAAACCACAGAGCCGTGTATTCCCGTTCCGAGAAGAAGTAACAAGAACACCACTGCTGTCGGGTCGCTGCTATATTCTTCAGTGTGTCCAACAAAACAGTTACACAGTCTTTTGAACCCCAACCCGGATGATGAGAGAGATAGCTACCCTATCTAATCACTCTGGGCAGTTCTTCATGCCTTGTCTCCATCACACACGTTGACCTCCACGCGGTTTCCCCCAGCCCGGAGAGGGTACAGCAAATAAAGCGCAATGCGACAGACGACAACTGGGCATGTGCAATACATGACCCAGCCAGTAAAATCGAGTAATTAGGATTCTATGCGCTAGCAAGGTTAATCCCCAATGAAGACAGAAAACAAACGACCTACCACAAGATTTACTAACCCGCTTATTCTACCCGTTATGCGCCAAACTATGTACCTATCGATGGTCCAAAAATTCTAGCCGGTGGATCTCTTTTCCTCGTAAACGCAAGGTCTCTATGGCATAAAGCAGAACCAAGTGAACCGTGGCATAATATAGACAACCCTTCAATCTTAGTAAAACGCCACATCTACACCAATTATGGTGATAAGCAAATTCCCAGTTATCCAAGTCGATGATATACACCTATTCTATGGGGGCCTTAAGCAGTTTGCTGATCCAAGTCCCGGGGGGGGGGCTAAAGTCACCAATCCCCGAACTACCATTTACTTTTATCCTCAAGCGACTAACTTCTCTCAGGTATAAGTCGGTTTTATAGGTATGTCCGATTACGACCGGTTCCCATAACCGAACAGCAGATCCGTGTGGCTCTTAGTTGTACCCACTCAACTGTTGATCATACAAACGTGTATTATGAAAAACGACATATTAGATTCGATACTAAAAACACAGATCGATTGACTCACTTCTAAATTGCCGGAGAAAATATCAAAGTTTAGGTGTTGTGTGGAGACATTGCTCGAGATCGTTAGGACATCTGTGATTCGAGTGTAAGCGGTCCCATTCAGAACAGATAGGCTAAACAGAGTCACTTCCGATCCCGGTTGGATTAGAACGACGCACGAATGAGCCGCAGGGTATGCGATCTATGTGGCAATGCATCGCGGGGGAGGGGATGGAGATCAAAGAACGAGGAACGGGATGAGCCGATGAGACGAGCACTCAAAGTTACATCAGACTGTAGATGACATAAGCCAGATGATGTGCTACTGAAGGCATACACGTATATGCAGATGGGATTATCCGTGTCATGAAACCTATCACTAAACATGAAGACACTCTATTCCGAGATGCATGGTATTATGAAGTAGATCGACTGTCATTCAAAATGATACTCTAGATAGTTTTGCTCTGTCCAGCACACGGACAAATCAACTGTCGGCGTTAGTTTCGTTCTCGCCTTTGACCCAGAGGCCCCTTTGAGCTTTCAAATGAGGCGCGAGGGAAAGTCGTATTCTTAAATACATCAGAACCAAATGATGTCAGGAGTGTGTCGAAAAATCGGTGCGCCATGCGCTGTTTTATTGTGAATGTTATATTGCTAATAACAACGATATCGGTGGAGAATTATATTCACCGACATTTCGGTGACCTTTCTCAAGGCAGGTTTTACAATCAAAAGTGACTCAGAGGAAACGATCACAAGTCAACGGATATTTCATCGTTAGTGTGTGTGTGATGGGCTGAATGATTCATTGTCTGACATACTAACTCCCATTATCAGATGGGGTCAAGTGGCACCGCGACCTTTTATCGTGATTACGCGTTANTAGGGGTGTAAGGGTAGTCCAAATGCTCGGGATCTCGATTCCGTCGTTTCTGTTGACACATGCAGAGTGGGTGTTAATGGCCAGAGCTTCGGCATACAAGCGTTCAGTACATGTTCAAAATCTGAGTTGGAGTGTTTTCGGGTTGTGTTATAGTCTATGGTGTGACCTTCGGTTATGGCGTGCAGAGCGATCGCTGAGTCTGGTTCTAGTTTTACCAGAGTTATTTTGTCAGTAGGTCGATGTTTTTTCTTTTCTCTCATGTTCGATTATCCTTGTCTTTAGTTGTCTACTGATTTGCCCAATGTATTCTGCCGGGCATTCTTTACAACAGATTTTGTAAATGTGTTATCAACACGATAATATTCACAATGAAGTCGTATTCTATCTGCTCCACGAGAAAGGAGGGACCGACACAGGGAATAAAATGGAAACCGAACTTGAGAGTGCAGCACGTACCCGGACTAGATCGCGATAAGAATGTGGTAACTGTGGTTTGGTGACAGATACCGGGATATCAGCTTGATTGTGAAATACATAATCAAATCGAAGTCGGGGCGGTGACAGGTCATGCATCACTGCGCGTCGCTCGTGTACGACTAGTGCACTGGAAATAGTTCGATGGAAATGAGACGGGGTGATCGAACGGGTGAGAGAAAGAGAGAATTAATGATGAATGAAGAGATGGTATAAACACAGTGCACAGACAAATAAGAAATGTGATAAGCTTGACCCAAAAAAAAATTCCACGACGTGAAAGTGTTGTCTGTTCTCCTGATACAAAACGAAACGTATGTGATCTATAAAAGAAATTGGATAGTGACAAAAAATAAGGTCGACGATGACATAGCGGTCAACAGGCCAAGACGGCAGGATACAGTTGCACATAGGTATGTTTGAACACAGAAGAAACAAAATTGCAAACAAACTCGCTGATGAAATTCACCAAGTGCCAGATTTCACTGCTGACAAAAACGATTGAAAAACTGTGCGTAATGCTGTGAGTGACGCCATCGGAACCAACAAAGCATATAACGCGAGTGACTATTGTACAGGTAACTACTTGAGTGTCTTCAATGTTCCTTGAGAAGAGAAGGGAAGTAAATAATTCCTTCTAACTATCACTTCAAGCTTAAACATTAGTATACGATAACGGGATTGCATCGAAAGTCGGAATCTAAATAATATTGTGGAGAGAAGATGCTATGAAATTCTAATTAACTCAACGATCTGGCTAAGTAAATGGCATATTTCGTTTTGCTCCCAATTTCTTATCAATGATTGATTATATCATGCCGTTGCGTCACTGTACAATTTATGAAAGTAAACGCGAAAAGAGGAAATTCAAACAGTCGAACAAATTACAATCAGTTTTCGAGGTGTCAAACATTTCTATCTCACTATCATATCTCGATTCTAGCGTACAGTCCATCCGCGGTTCCGTTCAGTTCAGTTTTTACAACCATTAATCATGCACTATTGTGCGCCGATATTGGTTGCTGTCTTTTGGCTGCCTCCATTTGGATGAACAGCCAAATGGGTTAGCGTTAGCATACCGGTGCAATAGAACTGTTTGTTTTGTTTTATAATGAAGCTTTTGACGATTTGTCAGAGCTGAGACTACCGGTTAACGTGATTGAACAGCAATGTTTTGTGATCGCATCTACCGGTTGGTTGTCATGTCACAGAATGTGAAAATAAATAGAGAGTTAGAGGAGAAACAACGATTTTTCTTACCCGTGCACCAATTTGGCAAAGAATGGAATTTTTACTGTGGCCCCTCTCACACTGGTCACTAGCATGACAAATCCGGTCAACTGACGACTGTGTGTGACATTTGCGGCTGTGCGGGGAAACGAAGGTCCAAAAGTGCGGAAGGTTGGCGATTAGAGATAACAAATTTTACGTGTATGATAGCATGCAAATGAGGGATCAGAGGAAGATGTGTTAAAACACTTTAGAATGACCAAGATTTGGGATGCGATCGTATGATTGAACCGAAAGCGAGTTTGTTCTAAAAACATCATGCGATGCTCCGGATCATTACCAGTTGTGAGTTGCGAAAAATGTCACTGAAAGCCACAAACTGTATGCAAACGATCACTCACGGGCCCGTTTGTGTGATAAAACTGGGTTGGGCCTGATGGACCTGGGAGCCCCGTCAGATAGATTAGACATCAGCAGACTCAAATGACCGAATCATGAATTTCGTCAAAGGTCCCAGGCAAGGTGCATCAAGTCAACTGTAAGTTGTGGTTTGAACGATTGAACAGTACAACAGATATACCATATTGGTGACGAATATGAAGCTCCCAGCAGTAATCATTTTTTGTTTGACTCAGATTCTATCATATAAAGCGTTAGCATTTTGTTCAGTGTTTGAGAAACAAAAAAACAGAATATAGCTGTAGCGAAGCAAAACATCCTCGGTGCTGTCCCCTACCTAATTAACAGTTTCAGCCCCACACAACTTTTTTAGAAATATGTAATCAATCTCGGGAAATATTGGCACTCCTATTATTGCCACAACTATTCTTACATCAGAAACGATAAGACATCCCTTTCAAAATTTATATATATATATATATATATATATATATATATAAATTTTGAAAGGGATGTCTTATCGTTTCTGATGTAAGAATAG